TAGGGAGCAGGGGGGGTCCCGGGGCTCAGCCCCCCAGCCAGGGCAGCCCTGGGGGTGCTGCCCCCCACCCAGGCCGTGACAGGGCTGGGGGCTCTTGGCCTTGGCAGGAGGCTGCTGCCCTGGTGGCCCAGCGAGCTGTCAATCCCCGGGACATCTTCAAACAGAGGGAGAAGTCGGGGACAACGGGAACAGGGACGGGGTCCCAGCCAGGTATGGGCAGCACGGCCAGGTCCCCATCCCCACAGGGGTGCTCCTGATCTGGGGGGCACCTTTTTCTGGGGGGAGGGCACTCCCCTGAGGCCACAGGCCCTGCTGAGCACGGGCAGCTCGTTACACCCCTCAAGGTGGCTGAGGCTGCTCCAGGCTGTAGCCACCAAGAGAGAGGATTTCCATGCCGGGAACTCGAGTCTGGAAGCTGAAATTCCATCTTTTAAATGAAAAATTGTGTCTCTTCATGGCAAGGAAGGGGCCATTCCCCCCACCCACCAGCACTGCCATAAATCCCACCCCTTTTCCCACCCCTGCTGAGCCAAGGGCAGCACATCCCCTTTGGAAGGGACTGACCTGATCTATGGGAAACCAAGAAGCTGGGAAATCCCAGGCCAAGGAAGTCACCAGGAACATGGGATGTCCCTGTGACAGTGTCCCCTCCTCAGCTCAACCCCCTTGATAATGAATGACCCCCTCCAATTAATATGGATTAATCATTTGAATTTTGCCATCAGAGGCATTAGTGGGACAGGATGAGATCCCAGGGGGAAATCTGTGTCCTTTTACCATCTGTGGGGAGAGTGATTCCTAGTGGGGGGGAATATTCCTGAGGGATGGAACCTGTGGTTGAGGGCAGGAAGCAACTCCGGGTGCTCATTCCCCAAGTCTTGGTGCTTATTCCCTGAGTCCTGCTGCTCATTCCTTCAGCAGGGCCAGGCTGGGATCTCTCTTTGCCTGTTGTTTGAGATGGGAAGATAAGGAGACTGGGGCAGAGTCACCTCCTGGCCAATGGAACTGGTTTCCCACTCTGGAAGAAACCAGTTTGGACCCTGCTCCTCCCAGTTCCTGCTCCTGGCTGTGGAGCTCAAGCCACTCCCACAGGGAGCCTGGAGAGGAGGACCTGGCTGTTGGTGTCCCTTCCTCACCCAAAATTACGTGGATTTTTAAAATTGGACTGGCTTGGCTGTGGTTCCTGCTCCAACCAGTCCACAAACTTGTTTCTCACCACGAGGCTTAGAGCTGGGAAATCCTGCTTAGGAGGAGAACCCATCAGTGTGGCTTCTGAGGCAGCAAAGCACCCAGCAGCACCCTTGAGTGACCAACTCCTGGGAGGCCTGGAAATCTCCATCCCTGCCTGTCCCACTGCTTTTCCAGGCAAACTCCGCAGCCCATTCCTGCAGCAGGAGCAGGTGAACTCCGTGCCCAGCCCTGTCTCTCCTGCCCAGGATGCCCCCCAGGGGTCCTTTGCCCCTTCCTCTGCCTGGGCAACACCTTTAGCCTCGCCAGGATCTGCAGCAGGTTGGTGCCTTTGCGCCCTCCCCTGACCAAAGCTTCTCACCTCTAGGTCCCCAAAATGGGGCATGTTGAGGCCAGGCTCCCAGTTCTCATGGGGTTTCCCACTCCTTGGCAGAACCTAAGTGGATCTTTAGAGCAGAAACAAGCAGGTTGGGGGGGCTGCAGGGGCCTAGGGAAGAGTTCAAGCTGCCAAGGTCAGAGTTCTGGAACGGGCTGAGTTGGAAGGGACCTTAAAGATCATCCAGTCCCACCCCCTGCATGGGCAGGGACACCTCCCACCAGCCCAGGCTGCTCCAAGCCCCATCCAACCTGCCCTTCAACACCCCCAGGGATGGGGCAGCCACAGCT